GAGAGGGAAAAATGCAACTAAAATTGGTATTCATGTAACATTCCAGAGGGGCTGTATCAGTTCCAGAAAGATCATGCTTGCATACAGCAGCCAAATAGATTTTCACAATTCTGTGAAGCACTTTTACCCTCTAAAGAAAGCTGGCATATTTCATCACATACTTCACACATCTCTAATCCAGAAAGCACCTTTAAGTGCTTTTACATTGTGACTTTGTTATACTCTCTCTGTTAAAGCGAGGCAAACTCGCATTTAGAATCAGCAGATCAACAGGTGCCAAAACAAGGAACCTGTGCATTAACTAGTACTCCATCAGCCAGGCACAGACAGGAAAAAAAGAAGAAAAAAATATTACTACAGTGTAGAGTACTAACTGAAGGATGCTAGAAACTGATAGTTATTTGGACCTGCATCTCTTTAGGACAGAACATCACATTCTGTTTAGACTTTCAACAGATTTTTGCAACAGCATATAAACATTTTGGGCATTATTAACACAGAATGAATTTATTCTCACATTAAAGTGGATGAAGACTGGGACGAGAGGGAAAAATTAAGAAAGTCATAAGCGACTGGAGTGGATCCAGTTCAGTTTCATGATAATGAAGACAGGTGGGAGCTCCTATGGCTTATGTGTAGCTACCCCGCACATCAGCATGTTGCCTGCCATCTGTCATCACATACTGCAATGAGCAGAGAACAATGAGACCTTTGATACATGTCCCAAAAAGGAGAGCAAAAAATGACAAACAGGAGGATGGAAATTAGAACAGATTCAATTATCTGAACTTCCCATCCTTGCTAAAAATGTTTAACTGAAAATCTAATTAAGGTTGCTGCAGTCTGTGTTCCCACTGTATTCTTGGAGAAAATGAATTGCCACTGTGTCATTTCCTGTTCTTGTTACACACTCAGCCAATTAAACCTTTAGCATTTCCATGCTACAGCTATGAAACACCTGCAGAGATATCTTACAATGTTTGATTAGCTTGAGCACCTTTTACACTTCAGTTCAACTTGCCATTTAAATGCATCATCTGATAGCATGAAACATGAAGGACACAACAGATAACCCTCAGGCAGAACAGGAGAGAATGATGTAAATTAACACAGTTCCTTCTAATGCCTTAAGACTTCAGTTCAATAAGGCTGCAAAACAGGGAATGCAGGGAATTACCTCAACGGATTTGAGTGCAGTGAAGTAAGGGAATGAGGTTTTCTCTTATACCTTGCAGCCCTTTTATAATTCCACTCTGTTTTGAGCAGTCTCCCACCACAGGATTTCATTGCTTACTGCACTGTCTGCAGTTCTGTGACAGTTCAGCGACAATTCATGCAGATTTTGTAGTACTACACATATAAGACATTTTACATAAGTGAAATTCTCAGAATAAGCTGATGCACAACAATAAACTTCAAAACATGTTTAAGAACATTCTCCATTTACATAATGTACAGAAAGTAGTTTCACACTGTAACTCTTAAGTGTCCATACTGTTGCATGCTGTTGTGGACATATAGACACATACAGTTTGAGGCACAAATACCAACTTAACCCTGATTGAAACACATCAAGCACAACACAGAGGGTGAATGAAAGGAAAGGAACACTTTTGACTTGGAAGAGAGGAAGCTACCTGCCAGGGCAAGCAAAAGAACCCAACAACAGAACCGAGTGCATAATGCAAGGCCAGTACCTCCCAGAGCACAGGTTGTCCCCCTGCGCTACCCCACTCCATGACTGTCAACTTTGCCAACTGCAGAACGAGTGATGAGAACACACACAGCCTTTATATTCAGCACACTAGGTTATAATGACCTTTCCAGTTGTCTAAGCTTGCTGTGGCTCATCAACCTACCTCCCTCCCTGCAGGTCTGGAATAAGGGATGCTATGGCAGGTCAGTCAAAACAGACTGCCAGAAAGGTCAGAGCAAGACAAACTACTATTGTAAGTAGAGAGATCATAAAAATTCTTCTATTCTCATTGTAATGACAAAAAAAGCCTTTAGTAAGAAAAGAATAATGGCTCGTTAATTCACTCTCATGATAAAAACTGTAATGAAGATAGGAAATTGCCTAATCTTAACACCTTGTTGTTAGTGCCTGAAACACAGTCCCATAGTCCACCTTCCCCTCCTTGACTTAGGGAAAGAGGCATGATAAATGAAGAATTTTCCCTTCATGCAATTGGTGATAATCATATAATTTTCAATCTCATTTCTGAAAATTAAAGATTAAAAATAAGACAGGCCTCTGCATTATCTTCCTGCTGAAAATTACATGGGAGAAGTAAAATTCAGAACCTCAAGACCTTATCAGCATGCAGTTTTCATTCCATAGAATAATTCACAGCCCAGTCAAAGAACAGAAAAGAATTTGATTCACCACTGTTGCCATTTTCTGATACACTATTTATTAGACAGGATAACAGTCATGGCCAAAGTCTGACGTTTTTTAGTCAGAGTAACCAATGATTGAAAATATTTTCTCTGTTTTGGCTGCTTAAAAAGAACAGAGTAGCATAGTGTAATATTATTAGCATCACTTACTCAAGCAGAAGAGTTGGCCCATGATGAGAAAATAATTGGTAGAGATGAATTCTCAGAATTCTGCAAGTACCCACAGCTGCTACCCTTAAGTAAACCAAACAGAAGCAAACACTGTCCTTGCACAAAAAGGAATGATTTAATTTACATAAAACAAATTCTAGTGTTGTATACATGAACATATGTACACATAAAAGTAGAAAAATAAATCTTTTTTTCCTGTACTAGTTTAGAGAATGTTGATAAAAGATTCCACCAACAAGTTTAGGCATAATGGAAGCATTTAAAGCCTGAACAGAGAACACAGAATAAATGCACCATTTTTCAAGCAACAGCTCTTCAAGAAGAAGGAAGATTTAAGTCCTTGCTCATTTCTAGAGAAATGATTTGTGCAGAAATATGATCATCCCACTTACAAAGAGTATTCCAGTCAAGCTCAGGTTTGAAAGAGGTTTGGAATCCACAGTATATAAATACAGGGCAAGTTCTCCCACCTCCACAATGCAGGAAGTCAAACCTGAGGATTACAACAGACTCCTCCAGCAGCAAAATTTGTACCTCTATGCAAGTACAAGTGTGTCAATAGTATTTAGAGACATGGTAGAACAATAGGATAAATGACAAAATCTGAAGTCTTCTAGTTAGAACCCTCCTTTTCAAGAAAAAATAAACCAACAAAGTATTTTTATGGCACTGTGCCACTACAAGATGATCAGGCACCATTAGACAACTTTGATGCTACTGTGCCACATAAGAATGAACAAGCACTCAGTGTTGCAGTTTACAAGTCCTGGAAAAAAACAGTTGGGAGACTGTTGCCAAACTATGTAGATATAAATGCTAGTTTACATCAACAGGGACAGGATTTTACTCCTGTTACTGACAAGCATAGACACACTTGTGGGCATGTTTCCCATATCATGAGATTTGCCTCATATTTGCAGATATCAGGTGAGCTTCCACCTTTACTAATAACTAAAAAAATTGCAGTTTCTGGCTGAAGGCCTTTTCACTTTTCTGTCTCACTACTTGCATTTTATTTTTTTTAAAAATCTCATTCTTTTCCTTCCTATGGAGCACAAAACCCTTTGCTTTTATCCAGTTACAATGGAAAGGCTTCTTCTCCTCTTGACTTAAGGTTAACGCTCCTTTTCTTTCCATATCCAATTTTCTCATCTCAGCTGCTGACATCAGCTCTCTCTCAGTGTTCCATCCAACTCAGTATTTAATTTTTCCTTCCTCTTTTTTTCATGTATTCCCTCTTCCCTTCAATCCTTTTGCTTTTCAAGACCAGTCACAAAGTCTTCATCCAACAGTTAAACAAGACTGCCTTTGCAGGGAGATATGAGTTGCTTATCAGAGGATGTTTAATGACACAGGGAGAAAAAATGGAGAATAATGCCTAAATGTAATTTCACACAGATTCCTAGCTAGAACTAATAATTCTTTTTTCAAGCTGGAATCTCGGATGAGATTGCAATTTAAAACTGCTTGATATTAAAGAAGTGACATAATGGTATTTATGATCTTCTTTATTTACATATTTTCTAAGATAAATAAATTTGCCACTACAGAAGCAGCATAGTTCTACTCATGGGAAAGGCAAACGTGAGCAATTTAATCTTCTAGCCAACCCAGTGCAGCCAATACCACAGAATTCATACAGTCATAATTAAGTAGCTCAGCACAGTCACTCAGCTGGAGAGCACTTCTGAGGTCATTTGCCTCCTTGCTATATTAGCTAATAACATCTTGATTTTAAGAGAAACACAAAGTTCCTAGACAGGAACTTGTTGTCAAGATGAAAACAAAACAGAACAAAAAAACCCATAAGCACGAGGCGTACCTTTACTTGAGAGGAGAGGAAGAAAGACAGCAAAAGATTCTACACAATATTAAAGTAAGGTGGACAAGGCCAAAATAATAATCAGATGCTTCCAGCCTCCAAAGCTCTAGTGTAATCTCTCTCTGATATGCTATCACTGCTCTCCCTAGAACATGCACCCCCACAGATATTTGCTCTTTGTGCACAAAGTATCATCTCACTTACAAACCCTGCTCTTGAGGAACTTGATGACACATGTAAACCTCACCAGGTCTTAATCATAAAGCAATCTGTAGCCTTCAGGTGATTTTGTTGATTATGATTTGGAGTATGAAGACGAGGTGAGAAGCTGGACTTGCTCAGCCTACAGTTTTGAAAGCTTATACAAACTATTCCATGAAACCTCTCTTCCCTATATTTGGTACGTCTGGAAGGGAAGCTATAGATTTGTCTAGTGAAAGCATTTCTGTTTCAAATTTTAAGTACAAAATAACAAATCAAGTGTTTTATGAGAATTTAAGCTTCCCTGAGAAGTTTAACAATGCTGGCAGAAGGTAGGGCTGAGGGAACGGAAAAAGAGACACAGAGGTACTATCACATCGATATCCTACAAATTACCTTATTTTCTCCACTGCAGCTGTAAGTTACAGAAATCAGACAAAGAAATGGGAGAATGAGGTATATTTCTGGTCATTACTAGTTACACTTCGAAGGTCAGTGCTGTAATCTGCAATGCCATTCAACTTTCACAGCAGTTCAGTGCTAAATCTCCACAGACCTAAGGGATGGTTGCTAAAAATATCCCCATGTTTGCAATGCATTACGTAATTTTATACTCACTGCACTTCAGCATATTCAGTTTCTTAAGCAAACAAACATTCAAGGAAATGAAAGGTAGTGAATTTCCAGCAGCTTTGTTACTTTTCATGGAATGTAAATAAAGGAAATATGAGAAAAGACTTTCATTATTCCCACTCACCCCTTCATTTTCAAAACAAAGAAAAGTCATGACTTGCACAGCATCACAGAGACCAGAGCAGAGTAAAGCACCATTTAGCAGGAAAACAGCCCTCTCAGTTTCAGTGCCACGCCTCTTCCCACCCTCAACCATATTTCATTATCTAAGACAATTATCAAAAGCTTCATGATGTTCTCCTTTTCTTCTGCAAGCACTGAAAGTGATCAAATGCTTAAAACAAACACACATACTGCTAGCCCATTATCATCCTTAGACCCTTAGGTCAGTATTTCAGTTGCATTTGTTGTTTGAAGTCAGACTGCTCTCATCCTCAGCCCCACCAAGCTGCTCTCTACTCCCATTCTACCAGCTTCCATGAAGAAAATTAACTTCAGCCCAGCCAAGACTAGTTCACTACTTTTGTCACAAAAGTAGAATTGAATTTTAGAAGAGTCTATAAAAGGAACCAAGATCCAAGGCAGAGGTGATTATTAAGGCTCACTAATACAAAGAACATCAGGAAAGGCAGAAAGTTAGCTTCAGAAAGAGCAAGCACTGCTCTTTAAAAAAAACCCACTAAAACCAAAGGAAAAGATCTCACTCAAAGTAAGAGTAACAAAAACCATGTGTCTTTATTCATAAAAATGCTAAACTTTGTTTGGTACATTGAAGAGTCACAACCCCAGATAACAGGTTTTCAGGGACTCCTGACACTGACCCTACATATCCCTTTCCTCCCCAACACTACCATCTTTTGGGGTCCCAGAACAGATGCAAAGTTTTGCTGAGATAAAAATACCTGCCCATTAGACAAGAAATAGAGCCACTTACATATCCCAGATTGAACATGCAGATTGATCCAAATACTGTATCAGTGGCACATTGCCTTTCTAAATACTAATTTCCTTTCCTCATCTACTCCGCAACATTAGAAATGAGAATGCAAAATTTTAAATCAAGACCAACACATATACACCATCCAAACCACCATATGGACTACACAAGTGCCCCCAAAAGTCTGGATCCAGGCTGTAAACTGCCAACATGGGAGATGCAGATCAGTAATCCACACTGGCACTCCAATCTCTTCTTGGCCAACTGCCTGCCAGGGAAATCATAATTCACTTGCTGAATGGCAGATAGTGACCATGTAATGGTTGAGCAGCATGAGTCACATCCAGCAGTCACGTCCAGGAAGAAAGCACAGGAGCACCTAATGCCAGGTGGTTGTGGCAGCAAGAGCAGGAAACATATTGTTTTTAAAAAAGAGAAAGAGTAAAATAGAAAGATATGCTAAAACCACCTCCCAGAAAAAACCCTCAGAGACAACCATTCCTCTCTCCCCACTCTTTACTTCTGTTCAGGGTATCTGCTATGTATGTATCGGCTTTCCTAGCCACTCTCTCCCAGTAGAAAGAAACTAACAGAAAACATGAACAAAATTAAGAGATGAAGAAGACAAAAATGATGAAATCACAAACATTTATTCACAATAAAGAAGGTAAAATGCACCTCAAGACTCAAGATTCTGTAAGTGGATGAATTACCTGCAAAGCTAAGTGGATTGATAGTCTCTGTAGCATTGTTTGTTCAGTGATGATCACACCACAATTACTGCTTTTATTATTTGTTAACCACATGTAAGGTAAAATGAGTAAGATCACTTTCATGCCCAAATATCCTCCTCCCCAAATGTCCACAACTATAGAAGAAGTTCACAAAGCAGCCTTAAAAGCTAGCACCAATGTGATTAGTACTGGAACACAAGGAGGAAGAGAGAACTGGACATGAACTGGTTATTACACAGGACCCTGCTCCTCACTGGCTTCTGACTTTCCAGCTGTAATCTCCAGAAATTTTGATCACTTTTAAAAGGCCAATTCAAAATATAAGAAGGAATTTAGTGGGTTGACCCTGACTGGATACCAGGCTCCCACCAAAGCCACTCTGTCACTCCCCTCCACAACTGGACAAGGGAGAGAAAACATAATAAAGGGTCCATGGTTTGAGATATGGACAGAGAGAGATCACTCTCCAGATATTGCCACAGGCAAAACTGATTCAAATTAGAGATACTAATTTAATTTATTATTACCAAAACGAGAGCAGGATAATGAGAAATAAAATAAGACCTAAACACCTTCCCCCCCTCCTCCTGCCCAGCAACACAGAGAGGGAATGTGGGTTTTGGTCAGTTCATCTCACTTTATTCCTGCCACTGCTTAGGGAAAGGAGTCATAACCTGCTTCAACGTGGGTCCTCCACAAGGATTCAAGTCATACCTGGAAACCTGCTCAAGCAGGGGCCTCCCACAGGTTCACAGCTTCCTCTCAGGCATCCCCATGCTCCAGTGTGAGTCACCTGCAGAGGCTGCAGGTGGATCTCTGCACCCCCATGGACCTTCATGGGCTGCAGGGGCACGGCTGTTTCTCTATGGTCTGCACGATGGGCTGCAGGGGAATCTCAGCTCAGGCACCTGGAGGACCTCCTGCCCCTCCTTCTTCACTGGCCTTGGTGTCTGCAGAGCTGTTCCTCTCACATATTCTCACCCCACTCTTCTCTGGAAGCAATTGTATCTGCCAAACAACTTTTTTTCTTCTTCCTAAATTTTTTATCAGAGTGGTTGCCACCATTTCTGACTGGCCCAGATTTGGCCAGGGGCACTTCTGTCTTGAAGCCAGCTGGCATGGGCTCTGCTGGACATGGGAGAAGTTTCTGGCAGCTTTTTACAGAAGCCACCCCTGTAGCCCCCCTGCTACCAAAACCTGGCCATGCAAACCAAATCCACAATTCTGTGAATTGTTCCCAACCAACCTCTTCTTTCCAGCAAAGTCTGTGCTGATAGCAAGCCACTAAGTTTCACATAGCCTATAAGGCATGACTTAATGACATAATGCATTCCAAGAAACTCTGGCAATCCCAAGTTTTTTCAAAGCAGTATATGACTGGCAACTGCTGTCTAGCCTCTTATTTTATTCTCTGATATGTAGATAATCCTCTTGAGTTTTAAACTGCTCCAATCAAACATTCTTTTTCAAAGCTCATTTTCTTGTGTCTGTTCAGTTACCTTTTATAGCTCGTATTTCAGCCTCTAAAATCACAGCAAGCCAAGAAGAGAGCCTTGTTCAGTGTATAGTGCTGGCCTTAGGGAAGAATTTGCCATCCTGAAAATACTAAAGTGAATATAGCCCAGCTGAGTAGCAAACAACTGTTTGCTGGCAGACAACATTAAGGTCTCTTAAGCTATTTTCCATGTGATCAATTCACCAATTAAAACACGAGTACATAAATTTCTCTTATCTAATTAATTATTTATAAGTCAGCCACCCAACCTCCTTAAGCACTTTGGATATATCCAATCCTCACAACTCCTGTTCAGAGACAAGTATCATTGTACTAGACAGATAATAAGAGGCCAGTTACCAATGGGTTATGTGACTCTTCCTTCTCAAGAATTCATGGAACATCTACAGCAGAGCTTTGAACTGACTTAAGACCACTTCCATCTTGATCCACTTTAATGTTTGTTATTATCTCACACTCTTGCCCATTACTCTGATCATAAGTTAAAAGCACTGAATAATCACACACATATTCCTATTTCAAGGCAGAACTGACAAGACTCCGTGGGAAACTCTGTATTTGTTGAAGATTTGTATTTCTTTAGGAAGTTAGACATTAAAATAATGCCCCTCACTAGAATCAATATGCAAGGTCATTAACGGGGATTTGGATTCATAAGTCCAATTAACATCAAGGAATTTGAACAGCAAAATAGTCTCATCTAGCTCCCTGAAGATATACCCAACTGATCTCTATCAAACTAATTAAAGAATTACATTCCATCCTGGATGGTCACTGGGACCCCCTTGGAGCAAAAGGTGCTCCCAAACATAACAGGCATATGCTACCTAAACTACTACCAGACATCTGCTGGAAACAGCTCCCATGCAAATGCTATAGCTGAAGCCCACAATTAATTGCACAGACATCAGGGAACTGTAATGTGGTCTGTCTCATGTTCAGTAACACAAGTCCAACACAAGATGAAACTATGGATGGGTCAGGAACAAGAGAGAACATAGAAGTCATCTACCCCAGTACTACAGTGGAGATGACCATGTAGCTGATATAATACATGTTAAAAACCCCTTGAACTCAAATGGTCATAGTCTGAGGAAAAGCAGAGATACTGTGTCCTCGCCATTCTCAACACTAAGACCACAGTTTTACAAAAGTCAACTTTATGAAGAACCTCTACTCATCTAGAACTGGGGTGTCAGAAGCAGAAAATGGCTTTTTATTTTATAAGTAAAAAAGAAGTGAGTATACAGTTTGCACATTCTCATTCTTGTGAGTAGCCTTCATTCTTCAGTTCTAGAGAGAAAAGAACCTAAGTGTGAAATGCAGATTAAGATTCCAACTGGATGAGCAGCCAGAGGCTGATCTGTGTTACAGCTGATACAACCTGCACTTGATGTAAGCTGAAAGCAGGAAAGAGGCACAGCCAGGACATCTCCATCCTGTATCTCGGCTGTGTTTCTGGTCACAGCCATTGCTCTACTTTCAAGTCTGTTCTTTTCCAGAGTTAGGAACCGAGCCATCACAGTGCTGCTTTTTAACAAATACCAAGCGAAGAATTTTTATCCAATTTGCACATCGTGCAGATGAACTCCAACCCAAGACGTGGCCCAGTGTACTGATCTGGAGCTTGTTATTGGAGAGTGAAGGGTAAGTTTAGCAACATCTCCCACACCATCTAAGGCTAGCCTGTGTGGCTGAGCCTTACCAAGGACCCTACAACAAAAGCTTTTGTCCAAATCCTCTTGTGTACGTTTCATTTCCCAAAACATTCAGTAATAATGTGGGCATTGCTACTGACAAGTCTAACATTAAGAGCTTATTTAATCATAGCTACACCTGAAAAGGTATTAGCTTTATTTTAAAATACTGGGATTTACAGTGGAAAAAACACCCCAACTAAACAAATACATCATTAAGAATACTGGAGGAAGAAGAGAAAAAGGCCTCTGTGTAAAGAAGTAGTAGGCAAGTGAAAAAGGAAGAAATGTGGTAACAGCTAGCTAACTAATTCATAGGGAATGACAATAGCACTTAAAGGCAGAGACCACACACCATATTAAAGATAGAGGCTGGTAAATGGGAAGGTGAAGAGCCAAGTTTTCCCCAGCCACAGTGTCAAGTAAATATAATTCTAATGGACTTATTTAGAATTAGTCATTCAGCTGTTTCCATCCTGTGCTGGAAATGCATTGTGTCTGGCACTGGTCATGTCAGACCTGTGCTACATCCATCCTCCATTTGATTTGAGGCTCTTGTGGACAGCAGCTGACAGGATTTTAGAGTGGCAAAAGAACTATTCTTTCCCTGTTTGGTGACTGCTCTGGAATAACTAGTTCTTCAATCCCTAACTTTCTTTGCAAAGCATATATGAAAGGAGCAGCAGGGAATAATGAGGTGATAAAAACACTCCAGGAGAGTATATTGAAGCAAAAAAAATGTCCCCTCTGTCAGCAGCTCACAGTGGATATCTAAGAGGACCACAGGACAGTACAAACATGCAGCAACATTCCCACATACTCATTGATAAACTCGATCACCTCTGATTAAAGTGCTTCTGAATAAGAATGGCCCCTGTGCATCTGGTAGATTTCAATCAATTTCTTCCATGGATTTGCTGAGGTAGTTTTTGCATAAATGCAATCGTTCAGCATCCATTACATTCTCTAATAAGGCAAGCCTAAGCATTTCACATCTTCATAGTTAAGCTGTGTAAAAGAACGTGTTTCTGTTTTAAACAGTGCACTTGCTAGTTTCTTTTGATGATTCCTAATGGTTCTGTCAGAAAGGACAGTGAATAATTTTGCCTATTTACCTATTTCATAACAATGATAATTTAAAGTGAGATTTTAAATAGCTAGACAAATGAGGGCCATACCACCTCTCCCATCTCGTGTACAAATGGAGATGGGAAGAAGGCTCACTCAAGATAATCCAGCAGGCTAAAGGAAGAAGTAGGCATAGAATTTTAGCTCCTAGTCAGTGTCCTAGCTATATGATGATATAACTTTTCAGTTTCTAGAATATTTATTTTCAGTAACAAATCCTGATTTAGATTTAAAAGAACACAAGCACACTTAGAAGAACTAAGAAGCATCATTGCTTATACAGAAAGATGGAATTTAGCAGGGAAACTCTTTAGACCATAAGAGAGCCCTCCTTTCTAAGCAATGTCACCACTATACATACTGATGCTCACCTTAACACATTTCCTTACATTTCATTCAGGGCCAAAGGCCAAGGGCTCATCAGAAAATTATCTACTACTACCAGCCTAGATGTGTGTATCTACAAATTCTAAAAATCACACAGATGCAGCCCGCTCCTCTGTCTACCCCACATTTAATTCAAAATTTTTGTTTCAGTTTTACAAATACTCACAAGCTCTACAAAACTCTAGTTCAATGTTCTTACCTCAGCTGATATGGAGGTATCTTGATAGCAGCATCAGGAGAATCCAAGGTTTCTGTATAATTAAAGGAAACAACAAGGCTTTAAAAAGAAACTTCTGAGTTCAACCACAGTTAATACATCTGACTACAGTCTCCGAGCCAATGATAAAGCTTACACCTGACAGAACAACAACCACTGCTGCTCTGAGATGCCAAAGCTTTGCATAAATCTGTCAGGACATTGCATGCCCAATGGGCAGGCATCAAGTACCATCTTCTCCCTTCTGCAGCACATCCACTGAAACTGGAACAGTATAGAGGATACTTGCATGGCTGCTGTGCAAGACTAATACCCAATTAATGAAGCAACCCATGCAACATCAAGATGAAAGGCCAGTAATGAGACAGCAACAGGTCTGATCTACCACAGAATGTTGTAGCTATGTATGAATGAAAAACAAAAATTAAAAGCAACTGAAAGTATTCCAGTTATGCTGATTTAAGTGAAAGCTCTTGATGATCAGTGTTCCAGATTGTTAGTGTTAAAATACACTTCAAGCCACTAACAATCTCTGAAAATGGGTGGATACTGAAATGTACCTAAGCTTGTACT